GCAGCGCTCTGTGCTGCGCACCGGCGGCGAGGGTCAGGCAACCACAAGGAGCACCGGGAGAGGACGGATGGTGCTCAGTCACTGCGCGCTGCTATTAGGAAAATGCAGTCAGCGATTAGTAATCCTTTCTTGCCAGGAAGAGGAGAGCGCTGCGGAGGCTCTCCGTGGCCCAGAGCCATCCCTACGGGAGTCCGGTGAGGCCGGGGCAGGCTGGAGTCCGTGAGCAAGGCCTTGCCTCTCCCTGAAAGCTCAGTGTCCATGGGGAACAGCCCTTTCTGTAAGGGCTGGGGCACTGCAGAAATATTATCTAAAGAAAACTTGTCCTCAAGCTTAAAAGCTTTGCACAAGTGGCACTGGTGGGAGCTGCTCAGTGCCAAGGGCTTGGCAAGGTGGGAGAGGAAGGGATGGCCCCAACTCCTGCAGGCTATGTCCCTTGTCACTGCCACCGTGTCTGCCTTCAGATCTTCACCAACAAGTGTCTGAAGCCCGGCTGCAAGCAGAAGGAGATGATGAAGGTGATCTGTGACCAGTGCCACAAGAACTACTGCCTCAAGCATCGACATCCCCTGGACCACGACTGCAGCGGGGCAGGGCGGCCCCTCTCCAAAGCTGGGTGAGGGGCTGGCAGGAACAGGGCTGGCTTGGCAGATATGGGGCCGGGAGGAAGCTGATCCCTTCCTACCCCTAGCCACTTGTTGGGAGCACTGCATCCTTTTCTTTCCTGACCTTGACGGGAGCACTGTTGGGAGGACAGGCTGAAAGCTGGAGTTGCCAGTGAGGTGTCTTATCCAGCTCTGTCTCCGTTGGTATTTGGTACCCAGGGATGGCCCAGGGGGATAAAGCAGTTGCTTATGGGCATGCTGTCTGTCCTAGACATGCTGCGGTTGCGAGAGCCGAGGCATCCTCTTCCAAAGCAGCCTCTGCATCGAGCATCGGAGCTTCCCGGCTGGCAGACAGCCCCTCTGCTCCAACCTCTGCCAGGTATAGCAACATCACCAGCTCTGCTCTGCCATGGGCACGGCCAGGCTCGGCTTGACTCCCTTTGGGAGGTGGGAGTGACAGTTCCCTGCCTCCTGCACTCGCGCTCGGCTCATCGTTCCCTGCCTTGATAGTAGCCCTGCTTCTCTCCCGTTCGTAGAGGAGCCAGAGCAGCCGGGTCGCAGACACGCAGCACCTCCCCTCCAGCGGCCATGCTGCAGAATGGACTGGTGAGTGACCTGGCGTGGGCATTCGGGGCGCTTTTGGCTGAGTCCTGTGCCCTGAGCAGTGACTGCAGCAACTGCTTTGTAACCCATGCTCTGGAGTGCGGGCACTAGAGGGGAGCAAAGAGCCGGGCTGGAAGCTCTGGAGGGCGGTGCCCGCCTTAAGCACCCCCCGAAATGCTCAGCAGTGACTGCAGTGTGCTCTAGCCGGCCTTCCTGTGCGCACAGGGACCCCCGGTGCTCAGCAAGGCGCCAGCAGAGCTTGTCCTGCTGTCAGTGGCGTCAGTCTGCCCTGCTCAGTGCTGAGCCTCCCCGAGGGGCGATGTGCACTGCTCCTTTTCCCCCAGTGTTGGCTTCTGTTCTGCAAACTGAGTGCAGAGGAGAATAGAATCTGTTTTCCACTGGTATTCTCCAAAACACTCTCTGCACAGGCAGGCAGGGTTGCGCTTTCTGAGGGCGAGATGGGAATCTTCTCTGCTGAGGTGCGTGGGGCTGCCTCCTGCCATCCCCAGGCAGGCTGGTGATGAAATGTTTTGTTTCAGAGTGAGGAAGAGGCGCTGCAGCGAGCTCTGGAGATGTCCCTGGCAGATTCAGCACACAGCTCCGCGCAGCCGCCCAGGTACGTCATGGCTGAGCCTGCGTGTGAGAGTGCCCAGGGCAAAGTCATGTGGCTGGGGGATGACATTTCTCTCAGCACGTGGCTAGATGCTGCTTCTGCCTCATTGATAGGGAAAAAGGGATAGGTCCGAGGCAGCACAGAGCTGTTCAGGGAGCAAGTGCTGCAGCTGCTGGGAGGGGACAGTGATGGCACAGAGCAGGGCAGGCTGTTGTCTGACCCCTTGTCAGTCTGTGAGCTTGGTGGGAGCCTGTTAGAGTTGGAATAGAGGTGCCCTCAGAGAAGGCCCAGGATGTTTTCTGGTGCTGCTAAAAGCACGGTCTTGCAGACTGGAGTTAAAGGCATAGAGAATGTCTTTCCTTGGTGCAGGGTGCTGTCTGCCAGTCCCAGCTGGATCCCGTGTTCCTTCCCCAAAGCCCTTGCCCTGTTTAGGGTTCTCTTGCTCCATGCCCTTAGCTCTTTTGGAGGGTTGCAGTGGTCGGGGATGCCTGTCAGCCCAAAGGGCTCTGGCCGCGGGAGCTGGTGGCTCTGGATAGTCTGAGGGACACCCTGCCCTGCTGTCCCCAGCAGCACGCAGGAGGAGGAAGATCTGGCCCTGGCCCAGGCACTGTCAGCGAGCGAAGCTGAGTACCAGCAGCTGCAGCGGCAGGTGAGTGCACTGCCTGCGTGTCTGCACCGCAGCAGGGTTGGTCCTAGCTTGGCTCCGTTGTCATGGAGTCCTCTCTGGGCTCTGCTTCCTCTCTGCTCCTTCTGGGGACACTTGTCTCCAGGGCAGTGGCAATGTCACTGCTGAGCACACAGCCCTGGGTACCCGTGCCCTGGATGTGCCTGTTCTTTGCCCTGCCTGCGTCCCTGGTGGGACAGGGAAGAAGCCTGTCTTGCCTTGCTCACTGTGTGCTTCTTCCTGTTCCAGACACACAGCTCAAAGCCATCAAACTGCAGCATGTCCTAGGCCTGCAAGGCAGGGTGTGCCAGCGGATGTGGGAGCCTGCTTGTGACCCAAGGAATGGCTGTGACCTCCCAGTTGGATGCTGTGGGGTTCTGGCCTGGACAGCGATAACAAGAGCACTTTACCAGGGACAAACAATCTCCCTGGGGGCTGTAAGCAAACGACCAAACACACCCTGACAATGCAGCCCTGTAGAAAGTCAATGCAGTTGGAGACTGTGTGACAAGGCCCAGCACAGACTGACCAAAGCAAGCAGCAGCCCAGCTAGCCCACAGTGCTGTCACCCCATCCCAGGGCTGTCAGTGGCATTGTGTCCTGTGGGTGGAAGCAGGGGACGAGTTGCATGGGACCACTTCTCTGTGCTTGGACGTACAGTTGGGATGTGACTGCAGCCTGGATTTCATGCTCCAGGGAGGGACCATCCACCCTCTCAGCAGACTGCCCCCATGGCTGGAAAGGTCTCTCCCCACAGGCATGGCACAACTGAACGTGGGGCTGCTCAGCTGTGCCCTCCCCTGCTCCCCGTGTCCTCGGTGCCTCCCCTGCTGTCTGCATGCACAAGAGCACATCGGGCCTTACCCAGCTCAGCTTGGGACACTCACATCTGCGCAGAGACAGGATCTCTCTGAGACGGAATGGAGGCATGTTTCCCTTCTGGTTTAGCTTAATGAGGGCTGCTAACTGAAATGCAACTTCAGTGATGACTTGACTGTGCCAGTGTCACTTGTGTGGGGTGGAGACTGCTGCAATGTTCCTCATGGGGTCCTTGCTAAAGCGTCCTTGGGGCACCTTGGTGCTTTGGGGCACCTTGGTTCTGCTCTCAGAACCTGCTTATGCCCAGGGCAGACCCCCCCTGGTCCTGTCTGCATGCTGCAGTGGTGCTGCTGGGGCAGGAAACCTCCCTGCTAGAATCTCAACCATGCTGCGAGTAATTCTCTCCTTGGGAAGGGCTGTGCAGCCCCAAGCTTGGAGCTGCCTCCAGTGGTAGGGGACAGGAGCTCCCTGGCTCTCTCTTGCCTCCCTGCTCCAACTCTTCCCACTTCCATGGCTGTGTGAGGTTCTGCGCAGTGCCAGGCTCTGCTTCCCTGGTCCCAGGGGTGTCTCCTTGTGCCCAGCTGGGGCAGGTGTGGGTATGGGCTGGGACGAGGGAATGCCAAAACTTGTCAGAATGCTTCTTGGGAGAAAATAAACCTGCAGGAGAGAGCTGAGTTGCTTGGAGAGAGCTGCAGGGTGGCAGCAATCCTGGAGCTGTTTCTCGGGCCTGCCTGGGGCTGGTGTGTTGCGGTGGGGTGGATGAGGGCACAAGGAGGTGCTGGGAGGGAAGGCGGACTTGGGAACACGCTGGGATGAGCAGGGCTGGCCACGCTGCTGCCAGGTTCCTCTGCTACGACCGCAGCCCCTGGCCCTGCGCTCCCCCTCCCTGGGAGGCCATTTCTGCCCCGTGGCCGGCTGTGGGGCAGCAGGCAGTGCTCAGGTGGGTCGGGGACCACAACGAACCCAACGACGACATCAGAACCCCATTCTCCCTACAGGCATTGTCAGAGGGGCAACTCTGGGTCATCTTCCTCCCCAGACCGCCCGCCTCCTCCTTCGAGTGCTGGTTGTCCCTCGCTCTGCCTGGAGCCAGGGGGCTCGACCACCGCAGGGCGGAGCAGCGAGCGGAACCCGGCCGCGCTAACCGACCATCCCTCGCGCTGAGCGGGTCCCTCGCC